TGCCCTCTAGCTTCTGGAAGGTCCTATTAACCTCCAGAACCAGGTGGAGGCAATAGAGGCCCAACCTGCTGAGCCATCCAGCCTAACCTGGACTTGACCCCCACTCAGACAATCTTGTTCCAACTACTGAATGAGCCATTAAATTTACCTAATTCTCTAGCACCACTAGAGGGTGCCCCACTAGTAAAGCATACAATACAGTATAAAAGTCATAAAAGTAATAAAAGAACATACATAAATAATTCAATTTTAATAGAGTATTTTTGTATTATTAAAGTAGCGATACACAAATTATGCAAACGCCTTTACCTGTTAGTTTGAAAATCACAATTATTAACTGTATTAAGGGGAAAAGCTCATATGTACTTGCATAGTATGCTATACTTAGCAATAACACAACTGAAAAGGCTAACAGGGTATGGATACAATCACTAGAGTAATACATAAGTTTTCTGTTGCCATCTGTTGGTCACAAGCAGTACTTCGCCAACTAATCTATTTTAGAGTCATTTTATTCTGCTATACCAGCAGAATTTTACCAGTCCCCTAGTCTAAAATGATGATAGCTGCCTGGTTCTCAGTTGTCTAACTATTATCTCTTCTAGTATCCATTGTTTGATCTGAAATGTTTCTGGCAATAGCTGACCCCCTAGAGATCTGTACAGATCATACATTTGTAGTAGATGCATACACTCTAACCAATGATGGCTACAGGGCTGTAAACTCAAAATTGTATCTTATTTTTCATGGACTACAACTACAAAAAAAATAAAAACTGAGAGAGGGTGCACCAGAAAAGTGCATTACCATAGGACCAATTTATTGAAGAAAATAGAACTCCGTTATACTCACAAAAGTGAACAACTTCAGGCATATAAAGTCAATCCAGTACTGGTGAACCCTCTCTTTTAGTTTCGAGTATATGGTATAAGGACCTCTTTGATCTGAGGAGCGCAGCAATGCCTATACAATGTAGAGTTCCTCATGGATGATTTCTTCTCTTTCTAATGAGATTGGAAGAGGAGTACTACTCGAGATCATTTATAGACGCTCCAAAAGACTTGAGGTTCCTATTCTCTTTTAGCGATGGTGTTTTTTCTCTGTTATACCAAAAAATAAAAGATCATATTTCTGTAGAAAAAAATATTTTAAAATTATATCTAAAGCCATTTTTATTATTGGATTACAGTACAAATTTTGTGGAGCCTGTCAAATTCAGGCTCACCCCGAGGACAACAGTATGTTGTTGTTGAAATGCAAAAAACACATTATACTCTCATATCTATGCCTGGCTATGGCAGCAGAGATCACAGGCAGATTATGAATCGGGTCTGCGGACCAACACAACTGCAATTAATTTCTTTTAGTAATGCCCATGTTGAGGGTTAGGCCCCCCAAAAAATGTAAATTTGGAAACCGTAATGGGTTTCCATGCGAATGGTCTGGTCTGGCAAGGTTTGAATTTGGGTTGGCGGCGATAAATTGTTGTGCATATAAATTGCTTGATCCACAATCAATGCATACAGATATTCTGTGAAAAACAGCTCCAAAAAATCTTCCTGTGTGTGCCAATCCTGCATTTTCCTGTTTCTACTTACAAAGCACAGCCATTACAAAGCACAGCCATGCAAATCAGTGTGCTTACAGTGAAGCACTGACACACAGCCCCTAGTAAAACATCACAAAGCACACAGTTAACCCTTTGATCGCCCCACATGTTAACCCCTTCCTGCCCAGTGTCATTAGTACAGTGTCAGTGCTTTTTATTAGCACTGATCACTGTATTGGTGTCACTGGGGATGTCAGTGACACCAATTTAGTTCCCCCCAGTGTCAAAATGCCCGTCAAGTCCCGCAGTCCTGCTATAAGTCGCTGATCGCCGCCATTATTAGTAAAAATAAAAAAAATTAAAAATCCCAGTATATATACCACCATTTGTAACCGCTATAACTTTCACGTAAACCAATTAATTTACATGTATTGGGAGTTTTTTTTTTTAACAGAGTAGTATATTCTGGCCTAAATTGCTGAAATTTGATTTATAATTTTTTTTACTGGACATGTTTAATAGCAAAAAGTAAAAAATTTAGTTTTTTTCTCAAAATTGCCAATCTTTTTTTTTACAGCGCAAAAAATAAAAAGGCACAGGAGATCAAATATCATCAAAAGAAAGCTCAATTAGGCTGGCCATACATTATACAATTATCTGCAGATTTTTGGTTTAGATTTACCAAAAACCATATAATAGGAGGACAAACCTAAACAACACTTTCAGTTGTATCCAATTAGGCAGGCCCTTGCACTACACAGTTGAAGGTAAATCTAAAAGAAAATTGGGCAGAAAATCTGCAGATAATTGTATAATGTATGGCCAGCCTTAGTGGGAAAAAAGGACGGCAATTTCATTTGGGTGCAGCGTTGCATGACCGCGCAATTGTCAGTTAAAGTAACGCAGTGACTTAACGCAAAAAATTGTCAGGAAGTGGGGGAAAATCCTCAGGAGGGCAAGTGGGTAACCACTTCAATACCGGGCACTTTTACCCCCTTCCTGCCCAGGCCAATTTTCAGGTTTCAGCGCTCTCACACTTTGAATGACAATTGGGTGGTCATGCAACACTATACCCAAACTAAAATTTTATCATTTTGTTCACACAACTAGAGCTTTCTTTTGGTGGTATTTAATCACCACTGGGGGTTTTACTTTTGCTAAATTAAGAAAAACAGACCGAAATTTCTGAAATAAACAACATGTTTTTCTTTGTTTCTGTTATAAAAGTTTGCAAATAAATAATTGTTCTTCATAAATTTAGGCCCAGATGTATTCTGCTACATGTCTTTGGTGAAAATAACCCAAATTAGTATTTATTATTTAATCTGTAGGAAAGTTATAGAGTTCACAAACTATGGTATAGATCTGAAAATTGATCAATCCTGAAGTACTGACAGCCAATCTAATTCTTGAGGCCCAAAAATGTCAGAACAGTACAGATATCCCCCAAATGACTGCTTTTTGCAAAGTAGACAGTCCGACATATTTCATAAGAGGCATGGCGAGTTTTTTGAAGTTGTAATTTTTTTGTCATAATTTTTCATAAAATGAAGAAATTAAAAAAATTTTTACAATTTTTTTTTACATACTGTCACCAGTGCAGTACAGCGTCAGCATATAACTGGTGTGGTGGTGATCAGGGACACTGACTGGTGACAGTACGAAAAAAAAAATTGATAATTTCTTTAAAAAGTTTTTACATTTTTGATTAAATATACAATGGATGGCATGAAAGGAAGCCATCCATTGTATACAACTGCCATGTGACCTGCTGTGATTGGTCACAGCAGGTCACATGGTACTGACAATGGGGCCAGTACACAGATCTGTCATCGGCCATGTCCGAGGTACACAGCCAGTGACAGATTATTATTATTTTTTATTATTATTATTATTATACAGTATTTATAAAGCGCCAATAGTTCACTCAGCGCTGTACATTACAAAGGGGGACAGAACATGTGACAGAACAATACCAATACAATGCAAAACATGAGGGGATTGAGGGCCCTGCTCTGCGGCCCTGCTCTGCGGCCCTGCAGGCACACGCAAGGGCGAGATCCAGGAAAGAAGTCATATGATGCCCTCCTGGAGGGACGAAGTGTTCGCCCATCCGTCATTTGACCATATGCCAGGCAGCAAGTGGTTAAAGTAATTGTAAACCTTTACATATACCCAGTGACTGGCCTCAGGTGATACACAGAGATGAAACAAATCCTCCTACATAACTTGTCTCTTTTTATATGCAGTCTTCTCTTCTCTACATCTATTCAATGTGCAGCTTTTCTAGGCTGTGTTGAAAAAAAAGGTGGCAGAGAGCTGAAATAACAAATTGCAGAGCTCAGTGAGGAGAGCTCTGAGAGCTGATTGGAGAGATGGGACCCCCCCCCCCCCCCTTCACACAGCACACAGGAACAGAGCTGAAGCTGTCAAGCACAGGCTGTGCCCTCCCCTGTAGCCTATTTTCTCTTGGTTTCAGGAAAATATGTCAGAAATTATTCATGCGGATATCAGAGGAATGAAGCAGCAGACAGAAATGACACTTATAGAGAGATATGTTTTATTCATATTTCAAGTCTTAGGTTTACAACAACTTTAACCCTAGCAGTACCAGCCATTAACCCTCTAGTAACCATAATTACCTTAACCGCCTCCCGCCTGCCATATAAGGTAATGACGGGCACAAGGTGGTTCTCTCGTTCTTGGAGGACATCACATGACGTCCTCCCACTCTAACGGCGCATGCGCACCCCCGGGGGCGTGCAGTGCGGCAATCGGTGGTGCACTGTGTCCCTGGAACACAGCGGATCACCGATAAATGGAAAAAGCCGAAGACGTTGGCTCAGTCATGTGATCAGCTGTGTCCAAGCACAGCTGATCACATGTAAATAAGGAAATGCTGGTCATCGGCATTTCTCTCCTCACGAGCTGTCACGCTGACAGCTCGTGAGGAGAGGAGAGCCGGTAATCTGCATTACTCAGAGGGGACATGTACACTGATCATCAGGGCACTGATGATCAGTGTGCCCTGATGATCAGTGTAGCCCCAGCAGTGCCACCTGTCAGTGTCCATCAATGCCACCTGCCAGTGCTCATCAGTGCCACATCAATGCTACATATCAGTGCCTACCAGCGAACATCAATACCACATATCAATGCCCATCTGAGTTGCCTTTCAGTGCCACCTATCAGTGCCCATCAGTGACACCTATCAATGACAGTCAGTGCCGCCTATCAGTGCTGCCAATCAGTGCCAGCCAGTGCTGACTATCAGTGCCTGTCGGTGCTGCCTATCAGTGCCGCCTAACAGTGCCACTCAGTGCCACATATCAGTGCCAGTCAGTGCCGCCTATCAGTGCTGCCTATCAGTGCCACCTATCAGTGCCATATATGAGTGCTACCTTTCAGTGCCCATCAGTGATGCCTGTCAATGCCCATCAGTGCCACCTACCAGTGCCTCCTCATCAGTGCCCATCAGTGCCGCCTATCAGAGCCCATCAGTGCAGCCTATCAGTGCCCATCACTACAGCCTCATTAGCACACATCAGTAAAGGAGAAAAATCACTTATTTACAAAATTTTATAACAGAAACAAAGAAAAAAAACTTTTTTTTTCAAAATTCCCAGTTGTTTTTGGTTTGTTGAGCAAAAAATAAATAAACCAGAGGTGATTAAATACCACCAAAATAAAGCTCTATCTGTCTAAAAAAATGATAAAAATGTCATATGGGTACAGTGTTGCATGACCGCGCAATTGTCATTCAAAGTGTGAGAGCGCTGAAAGCTGAACATTGGTTTGGGCGGGAAGGGGGTATAAGTGCCCTGTAGGCAAGGGGTTAAAGACGTAGTAAACTGCAGGAACAAAAAAAAAAAAAATCCGAAAATCAGCTGCAAGGTAATGTCATAATGTGCTAGTATGCATTGCATACTAGCACATTGCAAAGCCCTCCAGCGGCGCACTTTCACCGCTACAGAGGCTTCCATCTTCACCCTGTCTTCCTTCCGGGTTCACAAGTTCGGCTATCTGACTGGGCGGGCTGAGATGATCTCACACATGCACACGAGAGTCCCGGGCCATGGCACAGTACTGTGACACAGGTATGCCCTTCCTTCAAAGCACATGCGCCAGCTCTAAAAAAGAGGGAATATCTCCTAAACAGTGCATGACAGGTGATATTCCTTTTACCTACAGGTAAGCACCTGCCAACACATTGCTATTTTTTCACTGTCTAGTCAGCAGATTGGCAGTAGGTCCTTGTCCAAGCTGTGCTGCTTATCTGCATAAGTTGAAAGGAATTTGGATGTGCTGTTTAGCAGGGATGTGAAGATCCTAGGACTGGTTGAACAGAATTAAAGAGTTTTTCAAAGATAAGACTGTTCACATAAATGTATTTCAATTTTGTCTTCAGCTGTTTGAGTTCAAATTTAAAGGTACTCCCAGGGGCGGACTGACAACTCATGGGCCCCCGGGCAATAGGGGATCATGGGGCGCCTGTGTCCTCGCTCACACTCAAACCACACCCAAAAAAGCGTATGAAAGGTACCAAGGGCATCTCATGGTGCCCCCTACTTACCCAGGGTACTCGGGCAGTGCCCGACTATCCGAATGGTCAGTCTGCCCCTGGGTACTCCTAATGACCTTAGTGACTTAAAAGGTTCTCTTTCAACTTGAATTCTGAAAATGGCTGGGGGCCATAAGTATGTCTAGGTGACTCTCTTGTGGTTTCAAAAGAACCAGTTTAAGAGGCTTGCCTTTTATATAGTCTGGGATTTAAAGTGATAGTTCACATGTGCCAAAAAAACTACCTATGCAGATAAGGGATGTTTGTAGTTAAAAACAAACTCTTTGATTCTATACATATCCTGTACTCTTAAAGTGATTCTAAAGGTTTATTTAAAAAAACAAAAAACAAACATGTCTATACTTGCCTGCTGTGTGTAGTGGTTTTGCACAGAGCAGTCCAGATCCTCCTCTTCTCTGGTCTCCCGCCAGTACTCCTGGCCCCTCCCTTCTGTTGGGTGCCCCCACAGCAAGCAGCTTGATATAGGGCAACCTGCTGTGCCGTGTGTCCATTCACACATGGAGCCGTGGCTCAGCCTCACCTCCTCTCTCTTCTCATTGATTCACTGGTTTGATTGACAGCCAATGAGGAGAGGGAGTTACGGGATAGCCGAGACTCCAGTGCACATCGCTGGATCGAGAGGGGGCTTAGGTGAGTATTAGGGGAGGCTTGGGGGGATGCTGCACAGAGAACATTTTTTACCTTCATGATAAAAAAAACCTTGAGCCTTTACAACCACTTTGAAAAAAAAATTTTTTTTTCAGATGAGGACCCCTCATATTAATTATATATTAAGTATATGTCATATACTGTATACATAGACAGCATGTGCTTTCTTTATAGGATTTTCCTGGTGATATGGTTTCCCTAGTAGGGCAACTAACTGGTGATATGCTTTCCCTGTTTGGGTGTTACTTGTGCTCCCTGCAAATTAATCTGGATTTAGGTGGATACAAGACGATTGTAATTGACTCACACTTTATACAGCTGGTTTTCTTCATGTTTTTCTTGGGGTCTTCCCAAATTTTCTTCTTTTTTTCTTTTTTGCTGTAATGCATCCTGTTAATTGTATAGTAGTTTTAATATGTTTCTGTCAAGATGATTATGAGGAGATGGTTAAGAGTGCTTATTGTTACAGATGATGCTCTTTGTAGTTGTGTACCTAAAGAGTAGCTCTCTTGACAACCCCCATGTTATCAATAAGCACTTCATTGTGTGAAACGCGTCACATATAGCTTGTTTGTCCTTTGAGCTATTTCTCTGACCATGGAACACTAAATATTTTCTATTTGGATCAAGTCCTGGGGTGGTGTGTGGCCATTACACTCTTTGTTCCCATGACGTTGCTAGGACGCTGTAGTGAGACCTAGTCATTGCTGCTCACCTCCACCATCACAGCAGTGAACTGTCAAATTCTGAGCTCAGAGTTACTGCATCAGGAGATAGGGAGAGCATGAGAGAGGATCTAAATCAGAGAAAAAACCTCACACCTGTGATGGTGGAGGTGAGCAGTATTCACCTGGCCTCATTTAGCAAGGTCCCTTTTCTGCATAAACAGTTTTCTTTAAAGGTGAACTAACCTTTTAATGTATCGTCATTGAGATTCTGGGTACTACATACAGTGGTTACCAGTCAAATACCACTGCAACTAGTTACAAATAATCGGTGCTCTATGACTGTCAAAATTGCCCATTATCAAACCCTCACTGAAAGTGTGTGAAATGCTATGGCTTCATGCCAATACTTGAAAATGGTTTGCCATTTTCATCAAAGGAAATACTTATGATGAAATATTGCTTATATGCCCCTTTAAAATAGCCAGTTGCCTGGCTGTCATGGTGAGTCATAGTGAGTCATGGCTTGAATACTTTCAACATCACAAAAAAGCAGATGAGTAGCTATGCGCTTTATGCTTTCACTTGGAGGATCCATATGACAAGCCAGGAAGCTAGCATTTTTCAGAACAGGTTAACAGTAGTATTCTCCACCTTTCTTTCATTGCAGCTTTCTTTTGTTGTTTTTTTTATAAAATATAGGTAGTCTTTAAATACATACTGTACTGTTTTTTAAAAATCAAAAATAGTTCTCTGCAATCCTGCCTTATGGAAACATTGATTTTTCCAAGTGTTGTAAGAATTCTTCTTCCTGATTTTTTCATAAACATGACAACCTTTCAGACAATTTTAGAACAGAATGTTTAGTCCTGGTTCTGTACTCTCATTATACATGCACCATCTGTTATTTAATTCCTTTCGTCTCTGATATATTTGCATGATTTAACTTGTTTTCCTTTCCTTATATAACACCATGCTAAATACATTTCTGGTTTGCCCATTACTCCACTTTATGACTACAATAGCAATTTGTCCCCTGCTAGACAATTAACATTATGACATTCTCAAATAAAATCGGATTTTAATAGCACAGTGCATATTATATCTGTTGAGTTGATCTGCACTGTTTATTTTTTTCCTGAGAGAAACATAAATGCTGCCATTGCTGATCTCATTTTGAAAATGCTAGTTGCCTTGGTATTGTGTTGATCCTCTGGGGTTAATAACATTTAAAGTGTTACTAAACCCACAACAGTAAAATCAGTCTGTATATGCAGTAAAGCATGCTTGTTATACTCACTGTGGAACCTAAGGGGTTAATCTTCTGCATTGTGTAAAAAAGCTGTTTGTTCCTTTCTTCTCTGCCCCTCCTTTTTTTGAAATGACCATCTGATACAGACTGAATCCATAGTCACATGCACATGCTCAGTTTGGTGTGTATTGCTAGAGAGTTGTTTTTTTTTCTTGGGAGAGTGCTTGTGATTAGCACAGGGCCAATCAGCGCTGTCCAGACAGAGGGTCAGAGGTTTCACACCCTCCTAGAGCAGAAAGAAAACTCCTCCTATAAGCTTTAACCAGTGCTCTGAGGAAGTCACAGGACTGCTCTAACTGCTGATGAGAAAAGATATTTAGCAGTTTATGTTTACTAAAATAATTGCATTTCCATGTTGTGTGTACTGTGGGAGACCAGATATAGTGAATGCATGGTCCTTGGTTTAGTAACACTTTAGATTGCTTACTTGCAAAAGAATCTCCTTATCAAGAAATGTCATGCTGAAGTCAGAAGTCCTTATCTTATTGTAGATCTACCCTCGCAGAAGCCACTGCAAAAGGATGAGTCCACTTGTTCTTTGCCTTTACCTTCCCAAGAATCTAAACCTCTTTGACTTACCCGGGGGGATGTAGGCCTATATCAATATAAATATGCGGATAACACCATTAAACTCCCTGAACTGCTTCCTGACTCCCAGCACAATATTCTCTAAAATTATAAACAGGTCACGAATGCAAATGAAGAGTAACTCTGTATATTGTATACTATGTCACTAGGTAACAGGATAAACATATAGTGGATTGAAGAGAATGTTACCAGTTTATTTACATTCAATCTAATGGCTGACAGGACATGAGGCACCATTGGAATTGAGTCTCCAAACCATCATAAACAGTAACAACGCCGCCAGTAGTGAAACCGTGAGCAGAGAAGGAATTTGGACTACCAACAGGTAAGGCTATAGTGCTCACGCGCTCTGATGACAGATATGCTAGGCCTAGGCTGATTGGAAGAAAACACCAAACAGACAAGTTATGGTTAAGTAGACTAGAAGGACAGATGGGGGGTGTATGGTGAGGAATGATAGAAGGGGCAGTCTCTAATATGATCCATCTGCCAGCTATCATTGGGGCCCTTAAAGAATGTTGGTGCACTTGATGAAAATCCCTCTGAGAATTCTGCATGCAGTGAATAATCAGTAAAGGTCAGCTTGTATCAGTGGAATGCTTGGTGCCTGCAATCAGATTTAGTTGCTGTTAGATGTCCCTGTGCTCGGTTTCTTTACAGAGGGTGGTATTTATAACATAAAATCTGAATTAGGTCAGGTATACTGAGAATCTTAGACGTAATGCT